AAAACCAACAATGTTCTCTTAGTATTTTTTAAATACTTAGTTGATGTTAACTGCTTTTGAAATAGGAACGAATTCATTTGCAGTATCTGTATTCAAACTCATCCTCTAGTAAGAGGAAAAACATTCCTTTGGAGGCATTAAGAGGAGAGGCGTAGATTTCAAACCTTTTGTTGCCAAGTTCTTTTAATTAGTGAAAACTTGAGATAAATTTTTAGCGTTGGTCTGATATTTATTTTCTCTGATTTTGCTCGTGTTCAGTGTTTCTTTTGTTTTCAAACGTTATTCAGTTAATTGTAGATGCCTATACTTTGGATACAATTCTGTACTTTCTTTAAGGAACACCAAGGCTCAGACCTACTGGCTTGACAGATCTCTTAAAGAAAATCAACAGGGAGAAGAGGCAGAGGTAAAAGGTTCCTGAAAGGGAGTAAAATCCAGCTGCTTGCTGATAATGGAGGAAGTGCTTTGAGAGGAAATACCTGAATGAAAAATCATGAGGTTTGCAGAGTTTATCTTGGGAAGACTGTTCTTGTTGAGAAGAAGTGGGGACAAATTATTTCATTCACTTCTCTTGGGAGAGGAAATGTGCAGTCCCATTGCAAATGGGTCATGTGTCTAAATAAGGTCTTTCAAGGGGAGATAAAAGTGAAACTCATATGAAATAGGAGAAGCTGGCTTGGGGATTTTTACAGCCTTGTAAAGAAAGAAAGCTTACTCAGATGCAGCCTGGACCACAAGAAGTTGGATGAACACACTGAAGAAAAATCCCTCTTTGTGGTGCTTTTCTTGTAGCTCCAGAAGGATCTGCTCTTAGTTGCTGTCATGATTCTTTCTATGGTAAAAATCTGACAGGAGAAAAGAAGTGGATGGCAAAGGATGAAAATAATAGACTGTAAAAAGAGGCAGAGAAACTTCTCGCTATCTCACTGGGAGAAGATGGATAATGCCCAACTTTTCTTCATAGAAGCAGGGAGATACTGGGGAAAGTGGCAGCTGTTTGCTCAGGCTGTTGCCTCTGTAGGGTAGATAGCTTGCAGAAAGAAAAGATTGAGGTAGAAGTCCTGTGTTTACATTGCATTCAAAGTAGAATGCATTCTTAAGTGGAAATGGTGTAGGCTTTCTACCATCAATCTTCTTAGTGTTTTTTCCTGTTAGTTTTTGTTACCACTGAAATATTGTAATATTTCAGATGCCCTTGAAAAGTTGGGGGAAAAGACTGCCTTGTTACAATCTTACAATTTAAATACAACTACAGAAACATGTTGGAGAAAGGGTACATAGTGAACTGCAATGATACTGTCTTTCATAGTGCTTTTGAGGCAAGTTTATGGGGGAAATGGAAGAAAAAAAGGGAAGGGTAGTGCTGGGAGAGGTAATAGCAAGAAGGGATAAAGCACAATGAGGATGAGAGTGAGAGCTGGAAGGAAAGGCATTGAAACTGTAACAGCCATTTATTTACTGGGAACATCTAGATTAATACTTCAGGAGAGATGAGAGTGTTAATGTGGTTTCCAAGTGACATGATGTAGGTGGTTTTTACAAGCAAATATAGTGTTCATTGTAAGTGTATAAACTGAATTTTCTTAAAGATCACAGATATCTTCCTCCACCTACGCTGTTCTTACACTTCTTGATTCCATGCTTTCTATTCACTGAAATGTGTTTATCTTTACCAGCAGTCATAAGATTCAAGTTAAAAACAAAACAAAAACCCAACCCTTAACTCTAGTATTGGAAGCAAAAGGCCAAAGTCCCATTCAGCCTGGTCATACAGAATATAAAGTGCATTCTCCTGCTTACAGATGGGAGAACTGATATCGGTTGCCTATAGGCACGTCCCTTAAGCCCCTGGATGTTCAGTGTATGTTGATACAAGATGTTTATACACTTCCTTAACAGAAGTAGAGGGGAAAATGACTTAGTCTAGGCAGTCAATTTTGGAAAGAAAAAAAATTGCAAGCCTGGTTTGTGTACATCCTACTCATGTCAGAGCAGCCAAGGAACGTGTCCCACAACCACCTACTGTGCTCACCTCCCATTGCTCTTTGCATATCTTGAGAATTTCTTTGTCTTCTCCTTGTCTGCCCTCATCAACTCATTTCTGTCCTTCTAACACCCATTCTGGATTTGCACCCCTCACCTTCTGTGCTGGTGTATGGCAAGAAGATGGGTGGGGTGGGAACTTATGGAAGGAGGACATAATGTAATTGGCATCTACAATGATCTGAACCAAAGGTGATGCAATATTATGGCATTCCACTGCATTAGGAATATGCTGGTGATCCCTTTGACTTAATCAGGTGACTCTTGCTGTGGGAATTCCAGACTCGGTAGTTGTTATAAAAGCTCAGTGAAGTTTTGAGTAACTGGTTTACTGCTTTGTAAACTCAAAAGTAATGGTTGAAGCAAATGAAGCTTCTGCAGTCACGTCAGTTCTGTCTGCTGGTCATTCTTCCCTCTTAATCCGTCAGCATGTTGGACATTTTCAATCCAATTTCAGAGTGGAAGAGTTCAAGCATGACGTGGCCAGTTTGCTCAAGGGAAAGCTGCCTTGAGAATAGGATATGTTTGGCTTGTTTGCCCAGCAATCGACATGAATGGTGGTAGTTTTGCTCAGTGTATTTAGATGTAGCCAAACTTAACAAAAGATGATGTTGCCCAGCTAGAAGGGGGGGCTTCTGAAGGCAGTGTGGAGCTGATAAAGAGCTGTGGAGGGGAACAGAGAGCATTGCAAGAGTTCTGGGATCTCTGGAAAGGTGTGTATAAGACAGAAAGAGGCAGTTTCAGAGTTTTTAAAAACTAATAGTAACATACTTAAAGCTAATACAGTATTTCCTTAGAACAGTTATGTTCACTGCTGAACACAATTACAAGCTAGAAGCTTCTAGTTTTACACACTGAATGAGAGGAAGATATCTTTATAGTTTCTTAATTTCTCGTCTTAGACTTTTTTTCTATTAAACTTACCTGCAGCTGTGTTTTTGTAAATGCCGCAATGAACTTTTTGGTGGTCTTGTGAATGGGAAAAGTTAAGATTTTTTTTGTTAATAGTTAGAATGGAATAATTCTAGTGGTTTTTTTCTGCCTATTTTTCCCCCTTGAAGTACTGTTTGCTAGGATCCGTATTCCTGTCATCCATGCTTTGCATTGCTTCCATATGGAAACGTGGCCCTGTGAAGTGGTCAAGTTCTCACATATCATAAGTATTAACATTTCCTTTCAGAAAGCTAAGTAGTATTCTTATCTCTGTATTTGAAAAAAAAAAAAAAAAAAAGACAAACTTATTTTGGGATTTTCATACAGACTTCTCATGGTTACCCACTAAAGCTGTTAGGTGAGCACACTCTAAAGCTGTAAGTCAAAGGGAGAATATTTTACAGCTCATCAAAATACTGTTTGTGTGAGATATGGAAAAAAGTTCAAAGTCCTACACAACACGACTGCTCTTTGACAGCAGTATTAGGGGAGGGAGATGGATCATTTTTGACAGCAGTATTAAAGGGGGAAAAAGATCATTTACACCCATCACTGCCAGTGTTTTGGCATGATCCTTCTTTCCAAGCCAGCTGATACACTATATTTGGAAATGTGGCTGTGTTGTGTATTACCAAGCTTATTCATCATTGCTGTCAGCTTACTCTCCTTGCAGAATGATTTCAGGAATTTTAAGCAGTGTGCATTTGAAAGGGAACATGGCATTGCACTTAAAAAGTATTAACCAGAAGACAACAAGAAAAGTGAACTTGGGGGAAAAAAAACAAACAAAAACCCCTTAATTGAAATGTTGTGCTACTGCCTCTGATATTTATGAAGTTTGCAGTGCATCTCAGTCCTGAAGGCTTTTTTCTCTGCAAGTTATGCAGCTATGTTTTTTAGTGCTTTCCCTGCAGTCATACATGTATTGGCAAACAGCATGTCTTTTCATTGCTGTTACGAGAAACCAGTTTATACTTCCTTTTTTTTTTTCTGAGACGTGGTTTTAATATAAGAAAAAAAAAATCTTAATTTCTGAAATTGTATTTCAAATTAAAAAATACTTTTAAAACTGCCTCTGGGCAGCCTGGTCTGGTGTTGGCGACCCTGCACATAGCAGGGGGGTTGAAACCAGATGATCGTTGTGGTCCTTTTCAACCCAGGTCATTCTATGATTATACGAAATTCCAGAATCTTCTACAGAATTGGAATTAAACTTTAAAATCTGTTTCACAACCTGTAGATGTGAATTTAAATGTAAAAAGTAGCTTCACAGAGAAACTACACACTTATCATTTAGTTCTTGTGTTATCAGGGTACTCATCTACTGCTTAAAAATGGCAGGTATCATTGCTTAGCTAAGCTGTTTTTTTCATATGTAATTGGTTATGTGTTGTAAATTTTTCAGCATTGATTTTCTTATACTGTACAAGAGCATCTTCAGCTAAAGATCATTTTTTAGTCTTTAAAACAACATTCACTTATAATAGTAACGTAAATACCTACCATCATTTAATATTTTTCTTTATATCATATTTGAGAAGCTGTAGCTTACATACTCTGTATAAATTCACATGGATATCATTAGGATCATTATCTTCTGCCTTTCTATGACCTGAGGAAGTAACCCGATTTTGTATTGTGCGTAATAAACTGCTTGTGGTTGTTCCTTCAAAAACTATAAAGGATGTGAATCTGTGGGGTCTTTCCTTACCAGTCTGCACATGAGGGCTTGTCATGGTAGAAGAGATGCTGGGAAATTAAATTATGCAACTCAAGGGAGAGCTGATAAAATGAAACAGTGAACTTGGGTTGTTTGAGCCTCTAATCTCTATCTGCTAGGGAGATAAAAGAAGCCTTGTTGTGCCCCCAGACTTCATAGTCTGCATGTCCTCGGGGACAGTCTGTCTCACTCTTGTGTTTAGTATCAGCAGAGGAAAGAATTTTGTTTGTCTTCCTGTCTGTTCGTCAATACTGTGTTTGATTTCTTAGCAGTTGGTGATGGTGTGCTCATTAATCTGTTGTAGTTGGAAGATGGGGAAGAAAAGCAGAGTGAAAACACAGAAGTCAGGTACAGGAGCTGCAGCGACAGTGTCTCCGAAGGAACTGTTGAATCTGACTAGTGAGTTGTTGCAAAGTAAGTTTCATTTATTGCCCCTCAAGGAAAAGGGGTGATGTGCAAAATGATCAAAAATGTTCAGTCATTCTCTTGTTCAAAACAGTTACTTCATTTTCTCTAAGCAGCCAACCTTGCAACCAATTTCAAATACGGGAATGTGTATTTCATAGCACTACATATAATGGTAAGAGATATGTACTTATCATTGCTGTACATTACAGTACATATATATATTTTACTGTTGTGGGTTTATTATGTGTGTTTGTGCAACACAACGTATTTGGGTAGCTTTTGACTGTCTTGTCTAAACACTTGACTAAACACTTTGACTAAACTCTAAACACTTGGTGAGATCAGTTAAACAAAAAACTGCTGTAAATTACTTAACATTGCAGCTTTGTCAAAAGCATTTTTCTTGTAAACCTCAAGAATTATACCATTTCTGTTAAGCTTCTGAACAACACTTTGAACTGATACCAGAGTGGAAAAATTAACAATGGAAAGCAGAACTACAACTCAACTGCACTGCTACTGTTGCCTAAAGCAAAAACGCTTATTTTTATCACTGCTTAGAAATTTTCTGCAGAGCTCAGGTCTGGTGTGTAGACTAAAGGTGGTTTCACTTGTTGAGGAAATTGGAGTTTATCCATTATTTCTACAAAACGTGAAAAATGGAACACAAATTCATATGATGATGCTAAAATACTGTTCACACTTGTTACTGTCATTGGCAGCTGTAGTGAAGCTACACCGTGGTTGAAAACAGATCTGCATTTTTATACCCTGGACACATCTAAATGTTGCCTTTGAAAAATCAATTTTCTCTTAGCATTGCTCATAAAGAGGAGACAAGGAGTTGGCAGAGCAGTTTTGTGCTTATGCTACAGTTGGCCTGTGCTTTGCTACCAAAAATAAAATATAGATCTAATTTTCTAAGCAAAGCCAAGTATCAGCTGTTCTTTTTGTCAAGCTTCCATATTTTGTTCAACAGAGAGATTTGCAAATCAGTTGAACAAAGTAATCTTCAGCTGCCCACTTGGATTTGTGTAGCTCAGATCCACATGCTGGCATTTAGAACACTGTCAGAAACATTGGATTTAATCTAACACTGAAGCTTGGCTAAGTCTTTCTTTGCTTATCCTTCCAGTATGTATGCATCTTTGAGCATTACATTAACTAGGTAGATGAAACAGATGGACTAGCAAATTCTTCATTTATTGAAGTTAAACTCTGTGATATTGTTATCTGCTTTCGTTACAGTAAGAATAATGGCAAGTAGGCTAATGTAAATTGTGATGCTTATTGAAAACAAAAGTTATGGTTCTAAATGTCTTTCTTCCTCTAAGCTTTTTTTAAACATCTAGTGTTTCTTCTATCTGACAAACAGATGGAAGTAAGATAACTTGGGTGAGTTATACTATGAAAATTTCAAAAGTCTCTAGCCATTACATGTCAAAAAACCAGGATGTTTTTAACAGCAGAGATGGTGTTTACCATGCAAACACATTCATGGGACTGAAATACTAGACTTCAGGTAAAGATACTGTGAAACTGTGACCTTCTATCTGTTGATGTTAAAATGTATATATTAAATATTTTTGTTTGGCATTTTTTTTTCCAGAATGCAGCAGTCCTACCCCAGGTCCTGGTAAGGAATGGGAAGAATATGTACAGATTCGTTCACTTGTTGAGAAAATTCGCAAAAAACAAAAAGGTGAGTGTGGAAGACTGTGAGAGCTGGTTGGCTCATACAGTACTAATTTGCCCTAAGACTTGTTTCTGTTGACAGCTAAAAGAGAGATTTTGTTGTGGTTATGTAAATATTGTGCCATTCTACTGTGTTGGGACAAAAATACTAGTCCTCTTGATATGCAGCTTCTTTGTACGTTTAAGTGTCTTAAATGCTCTGATGAGCATAATCACTGGCATGAGCAGTTTTAATATTTGTGTTTATGAATGAGTACCACAGACAAATGATTTTTTCCCATAATTAGAAGAGACAGCTTGAGATTGTGGTGAGATGACAATCTGAAGGACTAAAGTAAAATGCCATTGGAGAATAATAGGCCTTTTTGATTTCCGATTGCCTAGTCTGCCTTCTTTGCCTCTATGAATTGAAACATTTGAAATTAAACTTTATGAATATTTTAATCTGAACACTTTACTGGTCATGAAAATGATTTCTGCATTTAAAATAATGACATCAAATTTGGACAAAATGGAAGCATATAAATATACAAAATAAACATCTATCTGCTATATACCAACCATAAAATTAAGTATATACTTATGATATTACGGTTTATCTGAACTATTATTGATGATTTTCCTAAGTTTAATGTATGTTTATTGTTCAGATTAGATCAGTTTGCTTTCACTATGTTCTGCAATAGCTGTTGAATAAGCTTTCTTTTTACTTGTAAGTAAGTTCTAAAAACTATTTTCCACTTAGTCTTTAATAAAAGCAACCTCTTCAGAGAGTTGTTTTAATGTCTAAGAATTATCTTTTTTTACTTGAGGTTCAGACTGGAAATACCAGAAAATGTCTTTATGGTTTTCTTCCCTCATATTTATGTAGCGAAGAGGAGGGGTGGGGAAAGAGCCAGACTGCATGAAGCTTGAGTGTTTCATTGTATCTGTCAAGTAGCAGACTGTTCAGGAGCTTTAAGTGTTCTTTTAGCTCCTTTTGAAATATATGTTGACTAATGTATAAAACTCTCGGTTCATAAAAGATCTTTTAAACCTCTGAACTGTAGTTATTAGCAGAGGACATATCAAAGAATAAATGATACTGTTTGAATTACTGCCTCCTGTAACTGTGCATTGAACTCGATTCATTCTTTTACTATCCAGTAACTTCTATAAAGTTGAGGTATGTGTCCTGGTTTCTGCAATGTAATCCACGTGTAGTGGTAGAACATAGTTCAGGTTAACAAGAGCAGTTAGTGTTGGCGTGGAGCTTTCTGCTATATCTCCTGCACCAAAAAGACAGAACTATTTATGGCAAAAATCTGCTGGCAGCAGTAGAATTTGTTAATAGGATACATTTTTTTTTTCCTTGAAAGATGCACAGCCACAACACGATTGCCATACAAATGCCTTCTAATGTACATTTTCACATACACAGTGAGTATGAATAGTATGGTGTCTTTCAAAACTATTTTTTGAATTGAACATAACTTATACGACATAGTTTTTAAGATTAATATGAGCTTTAAATGATTAGCAATGGGATTGTGAATTGAGGCTGGGAATTTTAAGATGTACAGTACTTTGTGCTTTTCTCAAATAGGGCAGTGGGTTGCAGAACGCAAAACTAAAACTCTTCACATGAAAACTGAGTATTTTTGTTTTCTAACTTTTTTTGCTTCATGAGCCAAAAAGGGAATTTTAGAGCTGATTTGTCAGTTCTTTTATCAGTACAGCTGTATTTTGTTTAGAATTACATAGTTCTGTAACAGTGACTGAATTTTAAATACTGAAGATCTGCAGAAGTTATGCAGCTAGCCATACTAGGTATGCCTTGGCTAGCCTTATCCCTAAATATATTCCACAGAAAATAACTTAATGAAATGAGTATGAAATAAAGGAAAGATGCTAGCTTGGTTAAAAACAAGCAAAATAATTGTGCGCCACATTCTCATTGCTTTCAAAGCAAATACTTATCAGTATACCTCTTTTATACCATATTGTCAATGATAACCACAGATTTGATTGTTTCTGGAATTTTAAATGCATGATTTCAAGGATAAAACTCAAATACGTGATTTCTACTTTCCTAAAACTCTTCTCTCATTAAGATTTATTTAACTACTGTGCTTAACCAAAATATCTTTGAACGTGAGCGATTTGCTGATTGCATATTGTCACTCATAAAATGGCCTGAGCATTTCAGGGGGTTTTGAGCAATTTTAATTTGATCTGATTCTAGAATTGGGATTGAAAAGAACTTAGACAAAGAGGTGTGGAAGGATCCAACGGGGAACGGAAATGCATAGGTTTGAATCAGATGAAGGTTGGAGGGAAAGCTGAGGAATTGAATGAGACTTGAGATTTCACTGGTGGACCAAGTGCCTTTTGGATCAGTGGATCTGTGGATCAGGGATCAGTGTCTGCAGTTTGGAAGGACTGTGGTATATCAGGTGTTGATCAGTTCTTAGTTATTTTAGCATATCCATGTGCTATATGAAAAAGCCAAGCGCTTTGGATGTGAGAGAAGGAGCTTGATATCTGCTTATCTTCATTTCCGGTGCTCAAATAATGAAATTTCAACATGCTCCTCCTCAAGACTGTATTAATATGTTGTGGTGATTATATTTATCATCAATATTAAGCTGGGAAATATTTTCTCCCTTATTTAAAAGGAGAAGAGGAGGGAAGTTTCATATTTTAGCTCAGCTTTGTTCAAATGGCTGTATTTTTAAAGTGTTGAGTAAGCCAATTTTGCAGCCTTTTGTCTACTATCAAGTAATGCTTAGCAGAGAACAGTTTGGACTCAGCTTCTTCCAAGTAGAACTGCTGTGGAATAGCTGAGAACCCTTACATTGTACTTCTTTATCTTTCTATGTCCTCTTATTTCTGCTTTTTAAATAAATTTTGTATGTAGGTTTGTCTGTTGTCTTTGATGGAAAACGAGATGACTATTTCCCTGAATTGATAAAATGGGCAACTGAAAATGGAGCATCCACAGAGGGTTTTGAAATAGCTAACTTTGAAGAGGAGGGGTTTGGTTTGAAAGCAACAAGAGAGATAAAGGTGAGCATGTGAACACTTCACTTGATCAGCAAATGATATTTGAAACATAGCTGCTGAGCTCTGAAACATTCATCTTCTTTTCTTCCGTATTTTGACTGTTGGTGAAACTGCTGTTCTGAAAAGCTAAACTGTGTGTACTTGAGAAGTAAAATAGTTAATAAAATTGAATATTACTTTGACTGTTGAGTAGTACTGTGAACTTATTGGTCTTTATCCTTGTTTGCCCATAATGTTTGCCTGATTGCAAGAGTGCTCTTACCTTATTAATGTAGCTTGCTCACATTCTAACTGCTCTAGTACCTTCTTCCACATTACTTTCAAGCACTGGTCTTTTTGCCTCACAGAGGTACTGTGATACTTACTTTCTAGTGACTTTGGAAGGGAAAAAAATACAAAACAAAACCCTTATGTTGAATCTTTCAATCGTCAGGTAAGGAAAATAGATGCACACAGTTAGCTAACTGTGAAAGGTAAATGCTTAAGCTGCTTTTTTTACAGCTGTTTCCCATCTGTAAAATGGAGGATGGGAAGAGACAATCAGCTGCTGTAGAAAGAATGTTGAAAAAGAAGTATATTATGTTCACTCTAGGGCTTTAGTGGCACGTACTCAAGACTAGTACCACTGATTGATAAGGATTAAAATCTCAAAAGATTTCTCCTAAAGTCAGAGGCAATGGAAAAGATTACTGAGAAAAAATATTTGATCACACAGTTAATAGCAATATAACGGATATTGTACATTTTGAGGTTGTTGTGGACAGTCTACAGGTTGGCATCTAGAAAGCAAAGCACTTTATTTTGTAATATACATATCTGTGTTTTGTGTAGTGCAGATCTGGACACTTCAGTTATTGCAATGTTTAATTTTCAGTGGAAGAGAAGGAAGGATTTTGCAAAATAATTTTTATTAAAAAAGAAAAAACTGGAATTTAATGATGCATACCTAACACTTGACATGTCATATAAATGCTGTGTGACCCTCTACTTGTTTTTTCTTTCCGTAGGCTGAAGAGTTATTTCTGTGGGTACCTAGAAAACTGTTGATGACAGTTGAGTCAGCTAAAAACTCAGTATTAGGTAAGATGTTAAGGAAGTTCTTAAGTAAGAAGTATGAGATCATTAAATTTAAGTCTCTTATTTAGCTGATCTACTATACCACAGGACTTGATTACCTTCACCTTCAGGGTTGGCATATCCAGAAGCTTGAACATAGTGGAAAAAACTTCTGTTTCTGGCTGAGAGCACTGGGCATGTTTGATATATTCCAGAAGCATGTGTATTACTTTGAACACATTATGTAGCTAGCACAGTGTTCTGTGTATAGTGTATCATGCAATTTCTACAGTACTGCCAGTTGAAATGTTCTCAGACACTAAATATTTTTCTAGCTTCATGTCTTCCACCATGTGATTGTATGAGGTGTTTACTCAAATAACTTGTTGCAAAATACAATGCAGGTGGCCACATATTTTAGAAAGCTGAAAAACTCTTCTTGGTTGAGAATTCTTACATGTTATTTCAGAATCTTAACTTAAAGTGAGTGTAAGATGATATTTTCCATGGCTTGTTAATTTAGTGCTTCACTTTCTGATTAATTCAGGTTCCTTGTATTCTCAAGATCGAATTCTTCAAGCCATGGGCAATATAACATTGGCATTCCATCTTCTTTGTGAGCGAGCCAACCCCAACTCTTTCTGGCTGCCCTACATCCAGACTCTCCCCAATGAATACGATACTCCTCTCTACTTTGAAGAAGATGAAGTGCAGTATCTTCGGTCAACTCAGGCCATACATGATGTTTTTAGCCAATATAAAAACACAGCCCGACAATATGCTTATTTCTACAAAGTTATTCAGGTAAGCATCTTAAATATAGTAAACAGTATAGTTCATCTCATGATTGAAAAAGGCGTGAAAACAGTGATGCTTAATAATAAAGTGTATTGTTCTTAGAAGGTTTGAATTATTGAAGCAAATTCATGCTGTTTTTTTTGAACTGCTGTTTAAAAATTCACAGTTCGGTAGGTTTATGAATATATAAGAATGTATTTAGCTGATTGAGAGAAGTGATTACTACCCTTTGTTTGACATTGTTGAGATTTCTCCTGGAATACTGTACATTCTTGGGCCCATCAGCACAAGAGCACTGACAAACTGAAGTGAGTGCAGAACAGGGCTAAGACCTCACTTGTTTTAGCCCTTTTTCTGTGCAAGGAGAGACACAGGGAACTAAATTTGTTCAATTTGAGAAGATAAGGGTGGTCCAATTATTGCTTTCAATCTTTCCTTCTGGTAGCCAGATTCCAGAAGTTTCCCTGTGAGTAGCTGGACCTTCAGAATTCTCATACGACTTGTTCATTTGATTCATTGAAAAATGTAGTTTACAGTAATCAAAGCAGAAACAATTTTTAATTGATAGAAGAGAATATTGCATACGTAGCCTTTCCAATGGCTGTGGTTTACCTGTAGTTTTCCCTTCTATTTAACATAATAATTTTGATTGGTTTTAAATACATAAACACATCTGGTAACAATTTGAGTATGGAGAGCCTGTGAGATTGTTGAACTATTTAAGTAATGATTTAAATTGAGCTTTTAAGATAGATCTGTTACTCTGACTGTCTTGATGTAATGTTGTAGGTGAATAGTGATATGTTGTTGTCAGGGTCAGATTCGGTGTCCAACCATCCAACGCTTCTTGTGTCTGTGTAAAAAGCATAAATACTGATGAACTGAATTTCCACAGATGTGCAATCTAGAGAGATGGTTTTTTTGACAATAGGAGAGGTCAGAAAACACAGAACAATTATGTTCTTCTGTAGCATTATCAGAGTAACATTACTGAATTCTTCTAACTGCTCTTCATGGTCTTGCAATACTTAATCAGATAGCTAATCTGTGGTTAGTTCTACCAACTTCCTAACACTATTACAGCAGCATTAGTCAGTGTGAGAAGTTATATGATCACAACAGTAAGGAAAAAATATGCACTTCTGCAGAGAAATGAGATCTAGAGTTACACTCCGGATTGGGTCTGCCATGTGTCCAGTCCTTCTGAACATCTTCTCAGTGATTGAAGTGATTGATGAGTTCATCAATCTGATACTAAGGTGATAGAAACAACTGAAGAATGTTTATAGAACACAGTGACGTAATTGCATGCCACATATGTGGGAAAAGAGCTTGAATGTTTGACAAAATGTTTTTTGCCCATCTGTTTAAGGATGGCAAATTTATTCTATTTCTCTTATTATTTCTTAAAGCTAATCAAAGGTAATTTGTATAACATTTAAGCTAATGTCATCAAAGCAGTATCTCACTAAATAATTCATATTTGGTATCAAGAGCCATACTGTTGATTGTTACGGTAAGAGGAGCTACAGTTTAAGCAAAGAAAATAACGTAAGTAGGATGACTTCAGTGGCAGTCTGTCTTTGGAAACCTAATGATGATTTTCTGTGGTAACAAGCTTTTAATACTCTGTACTCTTGCACTTTCTGTATTATCAATTACATCGAAACTGGTATGGTACCTCACAGTTACTCAGCAGTGTGCCCTCGTGGCTTGACAGTCAAGAGTGAAAATTGTATTGCATTAAACATGGCATAACGAGCTGGTCAAAAGTGGTTCTCCTACTGTATTTAGCATTGATGCAGCTTCTTCTGGAATATTGCATGCAGTTCTGTGCTCCACAACTCAAAAAGGGTGTTAGGATACTTGAACACATCAAAGCTGATACTGATGGCAACAAACCTGATTAAGGAGCTGGAAGACGTCCTGTGAGGAGCAACTGAAGATGCTGGGTCGGTTAAATAGAGAAAAAGGGACCTCATTGCTTTCTCTAACTTCCTGAGGAGAAGAAGGGCAGAGGGAAGTGATCTCTTCTCCTTTGTATTGGTTGACAGGACACAATGGAATGGCTGAAAGCAGTAAGGTTCAGACTCAGCATCAGGGGAAACTTACCAGGAGGTTAGACAGACACTGGAACATGCTTTCTAGAGAGATGATTAATGCTCTCTGCCTGTCTATGTTTGAGGCATTTGGATAATGTGTTCTTAATGATATGTTTTAAATTTGGGTCAGCCCCAAGATAGTTTGACAGTTGATCTTAATCCTCATAGGGTCTCTTCCAACTGAAACTGTTCCATTCTGATACTTTTGAAACCAATATAGTTTAGCTTTGTCTGCTGTAATGGATACCTTTGTGGAAATAGTTTTTAAATACATTATGTTCTTCTCTTTAGACTTCCTATTCATATACCAAAGAAAAAAAATAGTATGGTACCATTGTCTTTCACATGAAATATTAAACATACAGGTTCTGGTCATTTGTGATTAAAAAAAAAAAATCTATACCAAATATTTCTTAGCCTCCTGACAAATACTTTTTGCATAATATACCTACTATTTTAAACTTAACATGAGCATGAACATGGATCAAAAAGGAATCATGTGCTTTATTTACTTGTTCTTTAGAAACTGAGTAGTAATATTTACTGGGTAAACATTAGGTACGTTCTGATTATTTGGTGCCGTGCTAGGAAACCACATTTTCAATGAATACTTTACTTACAATGAATACCTTACTAGTATTCAGTAAAAATTCAGTCACATTGGAAAGATGGATAGGTCTATCCAGAACTGCCAAGTGAATGTACTAAGTACTGATCAGTGATTTTGATGAAAAGTCATGGGAAAGTTTTAATACTACTTGATCACTGTTTCTGCTCTCAAAAATAAAAGCTTACAATGTTTGAAATAGTGAAGAAAACAGTGCACAAGAGGCCTCCTTTTTTTCCCCCTAAAACAATGCATCACTTTCATTATTCATGAAAAACAGAATGAATTTTTGTATCATCTTGCATGCACTCTTATTTCATAAACAATTGTGACTAAAAAATATTAGCATGAAGGGTAACGTGCTGTTTGGAAATTCAAGAACATATGGAAAAAGGGAAAAAGTGGTGTAAAAGATTCATCATGATAATGAAAAGAAGGCAAAGCAGAACTGTTTTCTTATGAAGGGCAGGGCACTCCACAAGCTTTATGAAAGTGAACGTGAGACTTTTGTATACCATTTCATTCAGTATTGCTACATTCGAATAAGCATTTTAAGGAAAGCTGGTGCTTGTGACCAGGATTTTGATTCTCCTTCAGGCGTGCAGTCTTAGTGTTTTTTAAAACATTTTAAATATCCATTTTGCATTACAGAAATCTTATATTTGCTTTCTTGATGATTTGTTTTACCAAAGGAAATGAAGCAAGTAGAATATTGAAATAAGAGGGTTTTTTTTTAATATCTGGAAATACTGAAAAAGGGATTAATTTGTGAACTCAGAATATTTAAAGTGCTCTGCAGAATCTTTAGTCTGCAAAATGTCTCTAATGACTAGGGGAAGAAAAGGGTTAAACCATTTAAGTGCTTCATTGTCTTTCCATATAGGATTGCTAGACTGTTATTAAAATAATTCTGTGTCTGATACATGTGCAGGTTTAAACAACTTGACAAGTACTGGTCTGTTTTATTTCACTACCTTGTCAGCAGTGCTGGATTTCTCAGAGCACTGTACTTCTAACTCTTTCTCAAAGTGATTAGTCCAGATACACATGAAGAATGGGCAGATTTATGCATTTCACAGCTGTTGCAAGCCAAACTGTGGTCTGGTTTGATAAGCAGAAACAGGTGTGATGTTGAGTAGACAAAAATAAACCTTTGAGCATGTTAGCCAGGGTCTATAAACCACACTGACACCTTTCTAAATGTATGTAATTTGATAACTAAAAAATAGTTGAAAGTTTTTGCAGATGTGCCTTAAAGGTGTATTTAGCCTCTGCGTTGCTATCAGAATACAGCAAATGGTCAAAGGAGTACTTTCATCATGCAGATTCATAGTTTTAAGTTTTTGTAGCTTATTCCAAAGTGGAGTTTAGTAAACTGCAGGGTTCTCTTTTCCCTGGGAAGGTACGTGTGTGACTTTCATTAACATTTATGGGCACTGCATGCATAGTGAAGGGTGAATAGAGTCCAAATATTTATGGCTTCATATTTTAAAAATACATATATTGTAGGTTGAAATGTGATATAATAAGCACAAGAGGGAGCCATATAGTTTACTGACATCCACAGAAAGATTATATTTGTTAAGAAAATAAATGCTTTGAGCCTTTAAAAAAAAATAGTATGCAGTGGTTTTCCCGTTTTACTTTTTCTCACAGCTGCACCTGGATGACTGTAGTCTACTAAAGAGAAACTTTTGTGAATCAGAACGAGACATGGAGTGCTCCTAGAGCAGATGGAAGTACCGCAGTACTATTTAATCATTTTGGACACTGCAAATGTTGTTCCTGTTGAACTCCACATGGTTAGTGATTGCCCAGCCCTCTAATTTGGCAAGGTTTCTCTACAAAGCCTCAAAGGAATTACCAGCTCCTCCCAGTTTAGTGTTGGCTGCAAACTTACTTAATGCATCTTCAAGTCTTGTATCCAAGTCATTGATGAAAGGGAAGTACCATTTCTATATTCCAGAAGGGGCAGGAAGGAGGAAATACAAACCATAGTGGAAGACCTAATCCTGGAAATAATTTTGAGGCAAATAGCATAAATTCATAAATGGAAAATAAGACTTGACTAACCCAATAACCTTCCATACTGAAATGGCTGGCTTGCTAAACAATGGGTGGGTAGTGGATATTGTCTGTATGGAGTTCATTAAGGGTTTTGATGCTGTCTCCTACTAGACCTTCATGGAAAAAGAACATGTTGGAGTATGGGCTGGATGGGAAGACTGGGTGGTGGAGTGAGAACTGGCTGAGCCCCCTGTATGGTTGTAATGAGTCCAACAAAGTCCACTTGAAGG